ATATAAGGGGTGTAACGATACACGTATTCGTATCGAAATTCGGTTCGGTGCGCATGTGTACCAAACAAATACATTGTTTTAACCACTGCATGAGCAGAACTTCATTGGAAACGTCCAGTTTTTTTTATATTGTTACTTTTGATAAGAAACAAAGTCTCATCTTTCAAATGATTTCCTTTTTTTCAGGAAATTCAAACAATAAATGCCGTTTTGGTGCTCACGGCAGATCGCTGTATAAACGCCTCAGTTTAAACGGCAGAGCGATCATCTCTTCCCCTTTACTAGTTTTAACGTGAAATAAACATGAATGAACATCTCACACCTCATTTAATCGCTCAGTGTTTCAACCTTGGAAAGACGGCAATAAAACAGCTTGTAAAAAAATTGTCACACAGCATTTTATTTACCTCAGGAAGTCATCAATATCCAGAGCTCGTTAGTGCGCTATAAATGAAGTCTAGAGAAGAGCATTTCGCGAAATATTAGACTATACTCAATATATTTTACTTTACCTGTTAGTGATGTCTTAATTATTTAATGTTTAAATAAATCTGTTATGAAATGAGTTATGAGAGGCACTGTGTAAATGAATAGTTCAACAACGAATAGAATTTTTATAATTTAGAAGTTAATTTAAAAACTACATTATGTGCAATTTACATGTTTGCATACATTTTGTTGCTTGTTATATTTAAAAAACAAATAGTAATTAAATTTATGTTTGGGCTCTGTTGTTAACTGTAACCTTATAGTAATGTAAAAGGGCTCACTATAGTTTAGAGCAGGGGTCTTCAACTAAGGGTGCTTTCACACCTGTAAATCGGTTGCTTTGTTCCGAAACAGGGATTAAATTTATTACAATGTTGCTTTTTATTCTTGGTGCAGTTCGCTTTCACACAGCAATGTTTCTAAACGGACCAAATTTGTTAATACAAGTCACGCGCGAGTAAACTGTTCTCTCATTGGTCAAAGTTTCACTTATTGTTGTTGTTTTTTTGTAGATGTCGTTATATTAACTTATCACTTTGAGCAGGAGTCCAGGATTCATCGGGAAAACATTTTTTAAATGCACATAACTAGGAAGAAGAGCAGTAAAACGGCATTATAAAATGAAAAAGTATGCTTTGATTTTGAATGGCGAAGATGTGCTCACCCAGACATTCACATGGTTTATTTAGAAGTATTAGCAAAACAACACAGCTAATGCTTTTCACGGAACTTACGTAATTACCCATTATACATTGTGATATAGCCTGGTTCGTTGGTCCGTTAGATCAGATTACTTTCTCACTACAACCGAACCGCTCCAGAGTCCGTTTTCAATCGAGCCGAGACCACCTCGTTCAGGCGATCTCGGACCGATTGTTTTGGCGCGGATCCGAGCGCGATTGCCGTGTTCACATATGCCCAAACGAACCGAGCTAAGCGGGGAAACGTATGGGATTACATCTCTGCCGCAATTCTGCAAAAGTGCGTTTTGCACGCGCGCGAACTGAGTTTTGTGGAGAAAATGTTTGTCTCGCAAAGAAGAAAGTATTTAGAGCGCACGAAAATCAATTTTGCATTTAAAATAAGTTTTTGGATGTGTGCACTCTTTTGCGCGTGCAACGTTTCACTAGCTCGCTCCCTTGATGCCCGCTGCCCTCAGTGCTCTCTAAATGCCAACAGCTCGCTTGCTCAGCACAACCCAGCGTTACAATATGCCATAATTCCAGCCAATCAGAGACGAGGCTGCTAAATTCTGATTGGCTGCCTTGACAACCACTCACAGCATTTCTTGCATTACCACGACAGCAGAAAAGGAAAAATACAGTGCATGCATATTTATTGTGCAAGTTGATATTCTGATCATATTTTTTTCCAAGCACATTTTAATGATTCCAAACGACATCAATCTTAATAACTACTATTACAGAAGTGCAAGGTGTCAGGTTCTCAGAGACTTAGGTTAAGTATAGAATCCTAAAAAATGACCCCTACTTAAGAATAACATACTGAAGTGTAGTAAAATACTTGAAGACGGATTATTTTTTATATATATATATATATAGGCTTTATAGACAGATAAGCTGTTGGCATTTAGAGAGCACTGAGGGCGGGCATCAAGGGAGCAAGCTAGTGAAACTTTGCATGCGCAAAAGAGAACGTCTGCACACATCCAAAAACTTATTTTAAATGCAAAAGTTATTTTTGTGCACTCTAAATACTTTTTTCTTTGCGAAACAAACGTTTTCTCCACAAAACTCAGATCGCGTGAGTGCAAAATGCACTTTTGTGCGCTCAAAATATGATCTTTCGTGCGCAGAATTGTGGCAGATATCTAAGCTTACAGAAATGCACCAGGTTCCGAAACAACAGGCCAGGTGTGAAAGCACCCTAAAATTGCTTGAGGTCCAGCAATGAACCCTCCTCACCAGCCGAGGTCCGGACAATTATATAGGCCTACCTAAAAACATAAATTGATGGTTTTTGGCAGATAAGGGTTTTTGCAGGTTATTTAAGCGTATATTTAAAGACTTTTTAAGACCTGCACAAATAAAATTAAAATGACTGTAAAAAGCATGATTTAGAGTTCAGATACAAATTTTCACAAAATCAAAAAGGTTTTTAGAATGATTAACTTCACATTTCAGCCTTTAAACCATTTTTTTAAGAAAATGGAGGCAAAAGTATCAATTATTTGGCTATATTAATTTAAATAATTATTATCAATCAATTATTATAGCCTATTAATTAAATAACATATAAATATATTTTACTGTCTTGTTTAAATTTTTATAATGCATTATATTCTTGTCGATCCACCAGTTCACATGTACAACTGCGTGTTTGCAGCTTAAAAACATGGGTTGAGTTTCACATTGGTTCGATCAAAAACAGCAGACGGGCTTAATAAAAATGCACATTCATTCTTTGCCAGCAGGAGGCGTTTTTGGAACAGCAGAAATACAGCGGTTTCCCCGGTAACGGCAGCACACAAAGCAGCACAGCACCGGACTTTGAAATGTGCAGTGCTCATATTCAATTAAATCATTCTCTACATGTCTGACCTTAGCAACTGTTAACTGTAGTAACAACCCGTGGCGCCATAGGACCGGTGACAGCTCTACTGAGCTGACCTTGATGTGCTTGATATAAATTTGATCTTGTTAGAAAATAGCGTTTGGCATTTTTTAATTTCATTATGTCAAAAGGCTTCGCGGTCCGGATTCGGACCGGAGTCCGCCAGTTGACGACCCCTGGTTTAGAGCATAAGCCAAGGTAGATTTTAAGCCAAGGTAGATTTTTATCCCAAAGAAAATTTTAATTATAACAGAGTTTATTTAAAGAAAGAGCAATTTGCTTAGTAAACCACTGTAAATTTTGTTTAGTTTTTCCCCCTGCTGTACCAAAACTGTACCGAACCGTGACATCAAAACCGAGGTCCGTACCGAACCGTCATGTTTGTGTACCGTTACACCCCTAATATATATATATATATATATATTTTTTTTTTTCTGACCAGTCAGTAGACTAAGTTACCTCAGAAGCTGCAAGGCTGAATCATATTCCTCTGTCTCCCACAAATTCTTCTCAATGCAAGATACATGGAGTTCTCGTATCTATAAGCACAGTAACAGCATTAGTGCTGAGCATTAAATACTGTCCATTCACTTTATTTAATTGTAAATTCAGCTGAAAAAAAAATTATATATCATTGACCAAATCTAGAAAACAGTGTCACACAGCCACAAAGCAGCATGATCCTATTTATTTTAAATGAATATCCATTTTCGATTGCATAAAGTTAAACATTTCTCAACTTTCTGAAGTCACTGGTCACGCCTACGTCTTGTCGCCAGCAAGTCACATTCACTTGTCACGTTGCCGGCAGTCGCCAGCTCTCCACTGAAAATTATGCAATCATGCTGCTTTGTCAATGTGTGTTTCCAGCAGTGTGACACAGTTTAAGTTTATGCAAACAGGCAGTACAAAACAGCTAGCTGTTCTTCTTTTCTTCTCCTTTGTAATCAAGCAGAGGCTGCATCTGAACAGTCAAAATGACTTTTCCTAAATCATAGTATGTAGAAAACAGTATGTGAAAGGAGTAGTACTTCAGAATTCACAGTATTCATAAAACAATAGGCAAAAAGTGCCAGGATGACCTACTACTTCTGGTGAAATTCTGAAGTAGACACTTTAAAATCACACCCAATGGAGACTTTATTCTTCCATAAGGCCACGGGAGTTGATTTGTGAATGGCAATGAAGTGCCTGAATGGTTTTAACGCACTATGTTTCTATAAGCGTCAGTGTTGTGTTTGTTTGTTTAGGTTTCTCCATGAGAGTCCCACATTCACACAGAGAGGCTACAATTGCCTCAACTATAATGGATTGTTATTTGATAAATATACAAAAGCCTTTGCTTTGAAAAGGTTGGTTACACTTTAGGGGTCATATGATGCTGCTAAAAAGAACATTATTTGGTGTATTTGGTGTAATGAAATGTGTTTATTCGGTTTAAAGTTAAAAAAACACATTATTTTCAACATACTGTACATTATTGTTTCTCCTCTATGCCCCGCCTTCTGAAACGCGTCGATTTTTACAAAGCTCATCGGTCTGAAAAAGCGAGGTGTGCTCTGATTGGCCAGCTATCCAGTGCGTTGTGATTGGCCGAATACCTCAAGCGTGAGACGGAAATGTTACGCCCCTTACATACTGTGTTGATGCCGTGTCCGGCCGGAGCAATGACAGAAAAACATGAAAACCCATTACAAACGAGGCATTTGTCATAGTGAGGTAGATATGTGGGGGCGTGTTCGAACGAGCCGTTTTTGGTAGGTGTGGCTGACTCTTAACTTTTATAAAGAATATCTCTTTGGATTTGAGACTTTAGTCTTTGCAACTTTACAGATCTTCTTTATGCACCAAGAGCTTGTAACACTCCAAAGAGAAAGGAAAAAATGAAATTGCATCATATGACCCCTTTAGGGTTGTCACAGTGTAATTATACATTTAAGTACTGAGCAATATCAACTGAAAACCACACACCTTCTAGGGTTATTATTAGGGTTTGTTTTACAGTTAGTTGCATATAATCATGCATAATTTACTGTTATTATTATTATTATTATAATAATAATTACTCATAACAAGGACCATGTAAAATAGGGTTATCAAAAGGTGTACTTACATGCTTCCCCAGAGGAAACTTGGGCAGTGATGATGTCAAAGAATGCAGACATTGTAGAATGGGATAGTAATTCTTGTGGTATTTGTGGAGGTTTTTCAGTAATTTTTGACATACTTCCTGAAAAGATATAAATCACAAAAAAGATTAGTAATGCTTTTAAACATGGCAACAATATCTATTTTCCCGCATGTTATGTGAGTGTATACGTATTCTCTGTATACGTATACCAGTGTTGTAACACTAATAAATGAAAGATGATTGTATTTCTCCCTTACTTTAAAAGGGATAGTTCACCCAAAAATCCACGTGCCACAGCTGACACAGAACAGCATACGCTGATTGCGTTCAGTGGATATTCTCCAAAATGGCGCTACGGAGACGAATTTTAATAGTCGTAATTTTTTTTCTTTTGTGCACAAAAAGTATTCTCGTAGCTTTGTAAAATTACGGTTGAACCCCTGATGTCACGGATTATTTTACCGATCTCCTTGCTATGTTTCTGGACATTGATAGTGTAAGGATCCTTGCTGTCTATGGGAGGGTCAGAGAGCTTTCAGAATGCATCAAAAATATCTTAATTTGTGTTCCGAAGATGAACGGAGGTCTTACGGATTTAGAACAACATGAGGGTGAGTAATTAATGACAGAATTTTCATTTTTGGGTGAACTAACCCTTTAAAACAAATGCCTAGTTTGTGGTTCATTATTATGTTTAATCCCTCCTTAGTCTATTCTAGTGAAATCTGACTCCTGCTGTATGGAGCAGATAATTTCCATTTATAATTGTAGCATCCATTGTCCAACTGAACTAAATAGTTTTTATTTCTGTAAGCAAAATGACGGCAGTGCAAGAAATGTAATCAGTGCATGTCCGAACACTGTAAAACCAATAACACTGACTACCACGGCAAGTTTAATTTGCTTAATTAAAAATTTGCTTTAATTTCAGCTAAAGCCACAAATTATAAAGGGGATTATACATATGTGCTAAATTTGCATTACTTCCAAGTTTTTCAGCGAGATGGAGATGTAGAACAAGTGACAAACACCACTTTTTTAAAATAAGATTTAAGCAGCAGTTCAGCAGAGAGAAGCTGCTTTATAGTTTCATCACTGCATCCATGCTGCCATTGATATAAATGTTATATTTTAGTTTTTGATCAAAAACTGAGTTTCAGTAACAGAACTGATATTAAACGACACATTCAACAAATATTGTCTGCTTGGATCTCATCTATTGACACATTACATTAAACAATGCATTCAGACTTTTACTTTAAACATGCAGTGCTGAACTTTTTAGCTGATGAGTGATCTTGCATTGATCTTGCAATTTAATAATCAGATAATAACCTTGCTGTCTAACAGGGTTACCAACTGGTTGCCACCTAGAAGACACATGCTTGACCTGATGCAGAGGAAATCTTTTAAGATGAGAATGAACACAAGTATTAGTTACTATGCTAAAAAATTTGCATGCTATAGTAACTTAGCCATTAACATTGCTTTTAGTTAACTGGTTAACCCAAAGCTACATTACAAAGAACTGCCTATGATTAGCATGCTAGTCTGAGCCGATACTGGACAGAATTTGTAAGAGGAATAGAAAAAAGAAAAATAGTGTTTTAGATTTGTGCTATTTGAGTCAATTACATGGACTATTGTGGAATAATAATGTTACCTTGACATGTTCATCATTGGTAAGAAGCCGCACCTGTTCCTGGGGCTCCTGAGTCTCCACATACCTACAAAGACATATGTTCACTTAAGTGTGTAGTTACAGAACTGTTGTGCATCCCTTTACTGGAGTGAACACTGATGTGAATACCTCATGAACGAGGGTAGATGGCGGATTCGTTCAACATTTTGTTTGCTCAATGTCTTGGCAGAAAGCAAGGCCTCTTGTTTTTGGCAGCAAAGCACGCTGAGAGGCTGGCTATTAAAGTGCTCCAACATGGAGAACTGTAAGACAAAGCGTTTCAAATATCCATATTCCTTAAACATTCTCATATCACATCCACCCTCACGTTAATAATGTTTTAGATAACATAATAAATTAATTTGCAACAATCAAAGTACATTATTATTGAAGTCACATGACTGCATCATCCTTTATGCTTGTTACAAGATGCTAGACAGATTTGGCCCAATCTCCAAAATAGAAGTTTTGAAAACTTTGTAGTAATTATTACAGTAGAAAAACTGAATTACTTAGAAACCATATTTCAAATCCAAAATGGCAGATATCACTGAAAATGAGTTTTAATCATCTGTGTCAAAGCACAAATAGCACATGTAGATGAAGTGATACAACTGCCATGTGTCTATTTGTTCCTGAAATTTACTGCAGATAAGATGGGACTTCGGTATCATTTATAACACTCACATATATTAACTGAAGACATAACTTTCAAAATGTAAGTTTTGGCTTCTTTTAGTCTCCATAATAATGAAAGTTGTATGCTTCAATAGCAGAAAGCAACAAAAGCCAAATAAGTAGCAACATTGTCACCAATGTTTGTTTCTCAATAACATACATTCCAAAGCAACATTACACATGCCACAATGAAAGGTCATTTGAAAAAAAAAAGAAAAGAAAAGAAAAGAAAAGAAAAGAAAAGAAAAGAAAAAAAAAAAAACACTTTCCTTTCACAAACACTATATATGTCAGCTCACCTGTAGGCCCTTAACAAAATTCTGAACAGAGAAGTCATGGTAGAGGAAGATGCCAACCAGCACCTGTATCACCCTACTGCTGAGCTTGAATGGGAACTGAGAGTTCAGAATGAGCTATGAAAAACAAACAATGGCATCAGAAGAATATAAAGAACCAAATTATTGTTGATGTTAACTTGCATTACAAATCGCAATGGTTATTTACCTTGTCAAAAACAGAGGCTAAATGCTGAGTACATGAGAGAGAATGAAAGACCTCAATGCAGAGCAACGATGACACCGAGTGGGGAAGCCTGTGCTGGATAGCACTGGGAGACGTGGCAATGCCAAAAATAAAGACAAATGGAAGCTCCTGAGTGTATCGACTGTTAATAAGATAAAAAGATTAAGGATTTTCAGACCATGATTATATCCACTTTTCAAATTCAGGTATGAAACATTATTAGCATTTCCTGAAAAAAAAAAAACAGGATATACCACTGCTTTCAAGCCATGCAAAAGAAAGTTATATTTAAAAAACGAAAATGGGTCATCAATCAACTGAAACCACTTTTGTCTTTACAATGAAAACTGCTTTGCTGAATATAATGGAAGAAATTTACTTGTAAGAAGACATAACCTACAAAAAAATCCATAAAATAAGGAGTCGGAGCTGAATTGATGGCAAGAATTTGAAGAAAGAAAAAACACCTTGCAAGTACTGTAACAATATTGTTCTATCACACTTCACATACTCCTGCACATTTTACTACATAAATCCCACCTGCAAATAAGGATAAACTCCTGTAAAACTTGTGAGTTGAATGCCTCAAAGTCTTTGAAGATCACGACAACAGGCAAACTCTGAGGCAAGTCATTATTTGTCAAGTTTTCTTTCCTTTCTGGAGAAACTTGGGTGCATTTCTGCAAAAGACCAATTATTCTGATTGTTAAAGTAGCTTGGCATACCAAAGTTAAGTAAAAAAAAAACAGCACAGGATCTCTTTCAAATTTCTACTAGAACTTACCAAACACTGTTCGCTTTAAGATTTTAAATCTGAGATGAGCATTTTATTCTACTCGCAACTACAATTACATACAGAACAATTACATTAAAAAGAATATAAATTTACAAAAGAAACATAACCAAAGAGCATCATCTGGAATTTACTTTACCATGGACAAAGCCCCTTTCAGCAAGTAGCACTCCAAAATGTATTCCTTCAAAATATAAACATGCCTTTTTATTGTAAGCAAGCACAGTTTATGATCTCTTGTCTTCTCCTACCTTGGTAACAGTCTTGTACCACTGACATAGAGCACTAATAGTACACGGTGTCTTTTGAAGCAAAGCTGTATCATCTTCCTTTTCTTCATCCAGACACTCCACTTCCCATCAGCTGCTCTAGAACCTTCTGAATCAAGAGCTTCACAGCTGTCAACATTTTTTATATATATATAGAACTGCAGGATTACTGTAAAACATGGTAATATTACATTTTAATGAAAACATGCAAAGGCAAATTATATGCAGATGAGGCTACGCATAAGTCATTGTAAGCTCCATATATGCTTATTTTGCAGAGATAGGAAGAGAATAAAGCTGGTCTATTTAATCTTCCACTGAGATCTACATAAGAGCAAACTCTGCACAGGTACAGATGTACATGTGTTTTAACAAATCTGAAATGTTTCACATCCCAAAAAATACACACCTGCACATTCTTTGGCATGAACAGACACCATAAATGGGGTGACAGAATCCTGAAGGAGATTACACAGACTTCGAAATGTCATGGCATGATCTGGCACATTTACCCCTAGATGACAATAAAAGGTTTTACTGAGGTCAATAATAGACGGAGCTAATAGTTGGGCTATGTTGCATGTACCAATGTTATTTCCATCACAACTCTTCAAATTACTATAGTACTGACATGTGCCCTCAAACCCCACTAGAGAGGCTATCACTTCCTGTGATTACCATAATAAAATTAAGCATGTGCCAATATACAATAATATGATATATCACAATAATGAACATGCACTATATTATTATTATGGGCACTTCAAAATACAGTCAACTATTATTTATTATTCAGAAATCAAAGACTGTAACTGTATTATTTAATAGACCTAACAAAGTACAGTTGTATTTTTTAACTAACGTTAACGTAACTAGTGTAACAAATATAGCCATTTCTCATTGTTAATGTTAGGTAAAGCACTAACCTTAATTCAATTAAGGAGACCTTAATATAAAGTGTTACCTATTGCTATTTATAATTCTTTTGCAATTTAATCTGTTTGAAACATGTTTACTTTAAACATTTAAATGCAAAGAAGCAAAATGTATCGAGTTAAAAAAGTTATTATACTGTTTGTATGTATTATATATATACTGTATATACATATATATATATTAGTATTTTAGTCTGGCAAAAAAAAATTGCAAGCCAATGCCGATTCTATTGCCAAGGTGTGCATATAGGGTTGCTATTGGCACAGCCTGCATGTCATTATTGCACAAGCCCCGGGGGATAAAGCAGTCTATCAAATGTGACCATATATGATTGTGAACATTTTCACAAATCAGGCTTTATTTTAAACAAATGGATTTGCATTAACCCTGACTATTTGTAACTTTTAAACAGGCCAAGGTGATAGTACTTTAAGTTTTCTAAATGTTCAACTCTTGGAGCTATGTGCAATATAAAGAGTTGTGCTGGAAAATAAATAATTACATGAATAAAAAAAATTAAACAGTGATTTCGGACAGGTCAACTGCACCCCTTGAGTTAAAAAAAAAAAAAAAAAAAAACGTTTTAGAAAATCTTTGAATAAGAATCAGGCCATACCCAGCATTAGACCAGCTGTGGGGATTTCACTGGCTCTGTCTCCAGACATCAGATGAGCAGCCGAGGCCATGCTTTTTAATGAACTCTGCAAGACTGTCAAGTACCTTTTTATTCAACGATCTTGTATTACCTGTGAAGATATATATTTATCAAGGAACATAAACGTATTAAACGAACCAAATTAATGAATTAGACAAAGCGGTTGCAGACGCAGAGGAGGATGTACCTCTGTGTTCATTTGAACCGTTTCCTATAATTTCTGACAGATTCTAAAGCGATCGCTGCCGTTATCGTCACTATCATCCACCAAATATCCACCTACATGCAAATAAATAAAACGAAGATGCTCGATAATGATGATAAGTATTTGTAAAGTGATAATAATGATAATAATTACTCACCAACTCCTATATGTCGCTTTCTCTTTTTGGAGGCTGACTTAAAAACAAAACATCCCTGAAAAACACCATCTATAAGTCTGGATATGTGTCATTATGTGTCGGCTATATATGTATCATAAATGTATTAATATAATTATTCTCAACAAATACGATTAATTCAGCCACGTAAGGATTAATGCATGTCTGCTCAATATTACCTTTGACACTGATGAAGTCATTATGTCCTTCCAAAACCAACAGTGAGTGAACAAGCTTCAATAAAACAGTACACCATGCGTTCATGCTACCGCTTTTTTCTTCTTAATATTTTATTTCACAACTTTCAGGTGCATTACCGCCACCTGCTGGGTAGTAGTGTGAGTCTCGTACAACCTTGTTCATTTTAGCTCCTTAATTCTTATTTCTGAATTTAACTGTCTTTTGCAGATACTGCATTGAAAAATTAAATCATTCATCATGTGAACTCCTTAAAGTAAAATGTTTGTCAACTCAAAATTCATCTTAATTTTTAAAGTTGGAAATCAATCACTTTCTTTAATTGTTATT